GGGGGTGCTGTTTTTTCATGAGTCTCTTTTTCCTTTAATGGCGCAGATTTTTCAGCAGAAACTTTGCTTTGCTTTTCATCCGTTTCTTTGACATCACTTGCTTTTCTGGCGCTTTTGGAACAACAGTTGAAGCCGCCTTCTTTGGCTTTTCCATTGCCTCCTTTCTTTCAGTGTCCTTAGGGACTACTGGATCTGGCACTTTTGTTGGAGTAGGTGCAGCAGATGACTTATACTGCGCATGTATTTCTTTAGGAGAAGGCTTCTCTTCTTTCTGAATACCCTCCTTCTTTTCTTCCTCTGGTAGAGCAGCTTTTCCAGTTGGTTCTTTTTTCAATTCAGCTAAGGGACCAGCTTCTTTTCTCTAGAATGGTATGTTGTTAAACGTTTCTAATCTATAATTTGTTGTTTTGACTACCGCTTCCTCTTGCTCTGCTGACGGTGCCTTCCGCACCGGTGGCGAATCTTGCGCTGGAGCTTGCTCTGCCTCCTAGAAACTCTTACACTTTTTAACAGTGCAGTAAAGCTTCAGTACTCACCTTATTTGGTGCTGATTCTTCTTGTTCCGCTGATGGCTGTTTCTGAGCGGGTACTGCCTCGGTGACGCTTGTATTGGTGATTGCTGCTGGTCACCTCCCTGAACGCTTGGAGTGTTGTACACCGTGCAGTTGATCCACAGGCCAACCTCGCCAGGTTTAGTTTCAGCCTGACCCATGATGATTAAGTTCTGAAATGAGTACTTTCGTGCAGCTGCAACGCTTTTATACCAAAGAGCTTATATCGCATATATAATCAAACTTATCTTAAGACTTATCTTGAGATTGGCCATTCAAAGTTTTTCCTCCATTTACACAAAAATTTTACGCCATATAAGCCAGCCAATGGGCACAGGCCATTCACACAACCATAATATTCTCCACTCATAACCTTCCACGCGCGCGACTACCGATGCCGCGTGCGTGATACTGAGACGAGTGCTTAGAGTGACTGCTGTTGACTGCCGTAAAAAAAGTCCGCTCCGTCAGACGATTAATAGGTCCGCATCGTGTTTCGGAGGTTGGGCATAGGTTGATTGCAACACCAACTCAAAAAAGGATGTCGAGATGATGCTAGCAAATCAGGATTTTCAACCCTTCCTTAGAAAATTGAAATGTCAGCAGCCGTTAGTAATGTTCGCCCTCAGCGGGTGTTTTTTCATGCTTGAGGCGTAGGA